CGGGACCGCAGCCCCCGCCCCGCCCCGCCCGGCCAGGCCCGCCCCCGGGAGCCCGAGCGCCCAGGACTCTGCCCGCCCAGGCCGACTGCAGCGCCCGCACCCCCATTCTCCTACTCGATGGGCCCCTCACCCAGACTCCCCGTTTGGGGAACCCCAATGCCCCCAGCATCACTCGGGCGCTCAAGCTCCCCAGCCCTGGGGACCCCGACACTCAGAGACCCCAGCCAGGTCACAGAGTAATTCCTCCCAGCTTTTCTTACCACTGAGCCCCCCCAGGGGGGCAGGGTCCTGAGCAGGGAAGGTGCTGCCTCTGGGGCTACAGATCCTTCCATGACCTTGACCGCCTCCCCATGACCACCTAGCCGGCTCCCCCAACCCCAGTGACAGACACCTCAACCACCCAAGCTGCTCTCCTACGCATTGGCGTTTATTCTCACTTCCAAATCTCCGCGAATGTACAGGACAATCATAAGGGCACTGTTTAAAAAAACGGAGCTAAAACCGTCTGGCTGACAGGCTGGCTGGCCGCTCTGAGGCAGGCCCACCCTGCCCCGAGGGAGCCCTGGGCTGGGCCTCTTGGCACCGCCTGGCCTGTGCACCTCCGTGACCCTCGCCAGCAGCCCCCGTGGACAGAGCCGTGCAGGGGCTGGCGCAGTGGGGAGCAGCCCTCAGCAGCCCCCACTCTCCCCATCCAGCCAGGGTCGCAGCCACCCTGGCAGTGAGTGGGGCCAAGCCAGCAGTCGCGTCCCCAGAGGTCCAGGCGCTGCAGGTGGACAGCGGTCCCCTGGGCATGCCCTCGGGCTGATCCAGCCCTGGAGGCCCGGAGCGTCAGAGGATCTGCTCTGTGCTGGAGGCAGAGACGTCCAGGAGCCGCCAGGCCGCGTAGGGGTTGAGCTCGTCCTGGTCGCGGCAGAGCGCCCACACGTACAGCATGCGCAGCACCTTGTCCTGCAGGAGCCAAGGGTGAGGGCCGGGGCAGAGCTCGCGGCACCCACCAGGGGACCAGGGGCCGTCCAGCGGGGCGGGGCTGGAGTAGGTTCCCAGGTCAGGACACAGGGGGACACTAGGAGCACCGGTCTGGGGCCCAGAGCAGAGGCTACAACTCAGGACTTGGTAAAAGCGGACAGGCCAGCTGCCCTCTGACCTCCAGTAGGCCCGTCTCAGGCCCTGGGACTGCTCAAGGTGCTGCCCTGCCGTCCCCAGAAGCTCCTGGCCATGAGTGCACAGTGGCCGGAGACTGCAGCTAGTCCTGTGCAGCCGCCCGGCCCGTCCCGCTCCTCCCTCACTCACCGGGTCGCCCTCGACCACCTCGCCTTTGGGGTTCTTGATCACCATGACCAGCTGCGCCTGGAAGGTGACGATCAGCACAGGGCCCTGCTCCATCATCTTGCCCATGGCCAGCTGCGGGGGGAGCCGACAGGGCGGGCGGGCCTCAGAGGATGGCCCCCAGCCCTTCTTCCCTGCAGAACCCCCCTTCCGGGGGTGCTGCCAGGAGGCGGCCCCGGCAGTCAGGCCTGAGGTCCTCCCACCGCGAGCCTGGGTCTGAACTGCCAAGAGTCTGCGCAGGCTCCCCGACGGGCCGTGCGGGGCAGAGCAGCCTGACAGAGCCCTGCCTTCCCAGGGACGGGGCAGGGACAGCACCGCCTCTGGGGGACCAGCTGCAGCACCCCTGTGCCCACTGCTTGTCTAATGTTCCAACCACAGGACCACAGACACCTTTCACTGAAAAGGAAGCCTCGA